TTATTATTGTTGTTGTTGTTGTTATTGTTATTATTGATTTATTCAGAGATGTATTTGCCAGCCTTGCAATTACAATTATTATTATTATTATTACTATTATTATTATTATTATTGATTTATTCAGAGATGTATTTGCCAGCCTTACAATTATTATTATTATTACTATTATTATTATTATTATTATTATTATTATTATTATTATTATTATTATAGGATATACAATGGAGGAGGGCCTACCTCCGTGGACGAATCCAAGCATCGTGCAGTCCGAGGGCCCAACCAGGTGGATGAGGCTGGACTGGCTGTAGCCCACCGTGTAGGGCTCTGCGGGGAAAGAAAACCACCAAACGTGGTCAAAAAGTGGTCCTCCAAAGTGGTCATTGGTAAATAAATATCCTTCAAAGGGGTTCTCAATTCTTGACCCAACTTTTTGCAACTGCACCATTCTTTCCAATGCAATGCAGCAAAAAACTATGTAGTAAAAACTGAAATAATACCACATATATACACAAACACAGATATATACACATATACACATATATGCATATATATATACACACAAAACACATATACACAGACTGAGCCACAGCAATGCGTGATAATCACGGGTATTGATAATAATAGAAAATAATGTTAATAATAATATAGGAAAATACCAATAATGATGATAGAAAATAATACCAATAATAATAATAATAATAATAGAAAATAATATTAAAAATAATATAGAAAAATACCAATAATAACGATGATAGAAAATAATACCAATAATAATAGAAAATAATAGAAAATAATAATTGAAAACAATATTAATAATATAGAAAAATACCAATAACGATGATAGAAAATAATACCAATAATAATAGAAAATAATAGAAAATAATAATAGAAAACAATATTAATAATATAGAAAAATACCAATAATGAAAGAAAATACTAATAATAGAAAATAATAATAATAGAAAACAATATTAATAATATAGAAAAATACCAATAATGAAAGAAAATATTAATAATAGAAAATAATAATAGAAAATAATAATAAAAATAGAAAACAATATTAATAATATAGAAAAATACCAATAATGAAAGAAAATAATAATAGAAAATAATAATAATAATAGAAAACAATATTAATAATATAGAAAAATACCAATAATGAAAGAAAATACTAATAGAAATTAATAATAATAATAAGAGAAAACAATATTAATAATATAGAAAAATACCAATAATAACTATAGAAAATAATACCAAAAGCAAAGTTTATTGAATAGTCTGTTGACTGCATCAACATTAAAAACAAAAAGACATGTGCACAAACACAACAATCACCATCTCAAGACGAGAAAATAATACCAATAATAATAGAGAGTAAGAAGAATAGAAAATAATACCAATTATAATAATAGAAAATTACTGATAAGAATAGAAAATAAGACTAGAAAATAATATTGATAATAATACATAATAATACTAATATTAATAAATAGAGAATACCAATACTATTACTACTAATGGAAAATAATTACTGTTAGAGAAAAATACCAAAAATAATAGAGAATAAGATCGACAATAGTAATAACAGAGAATAATACAAATAATAATAATAATAATAGGAAACAATATTAATATTATAGAAAAATACCAATAATAACTATAGAAAATAATACCAATAATAACAGAGAATAATAAGAATAGAAAATAATACCAATTATAATAATAGAAAAATACTGATAATAAGAATAGAAAATAATATCAATAATAAGAATAGAAATAAGAATAGAAAATATTGATAATAATAGATAATAATACTAATACTAATAAATAGAGAATACCAATACTGTTACTACTAATAGAAAATAATTACTTATTATTGATATTATTTTCTATTATTATTATTCTGTTATTATTGGTATTTTTCTATATTATTATTAATTACTACTAATAGAAAATAATTACTGTTAGAGAAAAATACCAAAAATAATAGAGAATAAGATTGACAATAGTAATAACAGAGAATAATGCAAATAATAATAATGCAAATAATAATAATAATAAATAAGGTCAATAATAATAATTATATAATAATAATAAATATTATTATAATACTAATAAACCCAATAGTGGTTTCCTGCTTTGAGAGACTCACCTTTCCTTTGCCTGTCTGTTTGGCAGCAAAAAAAGGGGACGAGAAAGAGAGAAGATAAGCTTCGAGCGTGGATTCAGAGTCGAAATGGGCCACAAAAAGGGAGATAGATAGATATAGATATATATATATATATATATATATATATATATATCTCTGCACAATGCCTTTACCTGGGTTAATGACGGGCAGGATGATGTCTCCGTTCCGCTCTTTGGTCTCCATCCGCTCCATCTTCTGCTCCTCGTAGCGCCGCCGGCCCTCTTCCTCCTGCTCCTTCCCTACAAACTGAAATAAGGTATGGCCATCTGCTCAGACAGATCGAACCGTGGACTAGAATTGGATGGGGGACCCTTCCATTCTATAACTTTATCATCTCCAGCTTAGAAAGCCCCCCCCCTTCCCCTTGCCTTCCTAGACACGAAAGAGAAAACAACAAAGGTGAGACTAGATGACCCTTAGAGGTCCCGTTCTTAGGCTGTATTGAGCGTGGCTTACCTGGATGGGAGGGACTTCCAGGACTTTGTGGACGTTGTTGAGGGACAGCGGGACATACCACAAGGTCGCCTTATTGGTCAGTCGCTTGGCCCCTAGGGAGGAGAAAGGCATTGCCAATAGATTATTATGAGTAGTTACTACTATTAGAATAATATTATCCTAATAATATCAAAATATAAGAATAATATTATCCTAATAATATCAAAATATAAGAATAATATTATCCTAATAATATCAAAATATAAGAATAATATTATCCTAATAATATCAAAATATAAGAATAATATTATCCTAATAATATTATTCTAATATTATTAGAATAATAATATCAAAATAATAATATTTTAAAAATATTGGAATAATAATATTAGAATAAGATTATTAGGATAACATTATTAGAATAATAATATTAAAATAATATTAGAATAATATTATTAGGATAATATTATTAGGAAAATAGAATAATATTAGAATATTATTAGAATAATAATATTAGGATAATATTATTAGAATAATAGTAGAATAATAGAATATTATTAGAAAAATATAAGAATAATAATATTAAAATATTATTAGGATAATATTATTAGAATAATAGTAGAATAATATTATTAGAATATTAGAATACTAATATTAAAGTAATATTAGAATATTAGAATATTAATATTATTAGGATAATAGTAGAATAATATTAGAATAATGATATTAACATAATATTAAAATAATCATATTTAATATTATTAGGATAATATTAGAATAGTAGAATAATAGAATAATATTAATAGGATAATATTATTAGACTAATAGTAGAATAATATTACTAGAATATTATTAAAATATTATTAGAATAATAATATTATTTATATAATAATAATATGTATTTATAGATATACATATAATATTTATACTATAATACTACTAAGAATAATATATTATAATTATATATTTATATTACATGTAAGATTACTAATAACATTACAGTATAATTGATATAGAACAATATAGCAATATTTAATAATAATATTTATTTATAGATATACATATATTTATAATATTATAATGTAATGCAATATAATACATAATAATAATATGATATTATAATTATATGTTTATATTACATGTAATATTACAAATAATATTACAGTATAATTGACAGTACAATATAGCAATATTTAAAACTGATATCGTACTATGCTAATAATATAATATATTGTACTAGCTGTACCCGCCACGCGTTGCTGTGGCCAACCTTCCCTCCCTCTTTCTCTCCTTCTTTCCCTCTTTCCTTCCTTTCTTCTTTTTCTTTCCCTATCTCTTATATTTCTTCCGTCTCTACCTGTTTCTTTCCTCTCTTTCTTTGCTCTTTGGTTACATCTTTCCTTCCCTATCTTTTGTTCCTTCTCTCCTTTCTTGCTTCTCTTTCTTTCTTTCCTTCTTTCCCTCCCTGCTTCTCTCCTTCCTTCCTTCCCTTTTTCCCTCCTCTTGTTACTTCTTGACTGTCCCTTCCATTTAATATTGTATTTATCTCTTAGAAAGAAGGAAAGGAAGAAGGAAGGAAGGAGGGACAGGAAGGAAGGAAAAGAAAGGAGAGGCAGGAAGGGAGTGAGGCAGGAAGGAGGGGATGAAGAAAGGAGGGAGGGAAGGAAATGAAGGGGAAGGAAATGAAGAAAGGGAAAGGAGGAAAAGGAGGGAGGTAAAGAAGGAAAGGAAGAAGGGACAGGAAGGAAGGAAATGGGGAGGGAGGGAGGGAGGGAGGAGAAGGAAGGAAGGAGGGAAGGAAGGAGGGAGGGAAGGAAATGAGGGGGAAGGTAATGAAAGGGAAAGAAGGAGGAAAGGGAGGGAGGAAAAGAAGGAAATGAAGAAGGAAGGAGGGTTAGGAAGGAAGGAAAAGGAAGGGAGGGAGGGAAAGAAGGGAAGGAAGGGAAAAAAAGGAGGGACAGGAAGGGAGGAAGGAAGGAGAGAGAGAAAGGAGGGGGATGAAGGAAGGAGGGAGGGAAGGAAATGAAGGGGAAGGAAATGAAGAAAGGGAAAGGAGGAAAAGGAGGGAGGTAAAGAAGGAAAGGAAGAAGGGACAGGAAGGAAGGAAATGGGGAGGGAGGGAGGGAGGGAGGAGAAGGAAGGAGGGTTAGGAAGGAAGGAAAAGGAAGGGAGGGAGGGAAAGAAGGGAAGGAAGGGAAAAAAGGAGGGACAGGAAGGGAGGAAGGAAGGAGAGAGAGAAAGGAGGGGGATGAAGGAAGGAGGGAGGGAAGGAAATGAAGGGGAAGGAAATGAAGAAAGGGAAAGGAGGAAAAGGAGGGAGGTAAAGAAGGAAAGGAAGAAGGGACAGGAAGGAAGGAAATGGGGAGGGAGGAGAAGGAAGGAAGGAGGAGAAAGGAGGGAGGGAAGGAAATGAGGGGGAAGGTAATGAAAGGGAAAGAAGGAGGAAAGGGAGGGAGGAAAAGAAGGAAATGAAGAAGGAAGGAGGGTTAGGAAGGAAGGAAAAGGAAGGGAGGGAGGGAAAGAAGGGAAGGAAGGGGAAAAAAGGAGGGACAGGAAGGGAGGAAGGAAGGAGAGAGAGAAAGGAGGGGGATGAAGGAAGGAGGGAGGGAAGGAAATGAAGGGGAAGGAAATGAAGAAAGGGAAAGGAGGAAAAGGAGGGAGGTAAAGAAGGAAAGGAAGAAGGGACAGGAAGGAAGGAAATGGGGAGGGAGGGAGGGAGGGAGGAGAAGGAAGGAAGGAGGAAGGAAGGAGGGAGGGAAGGAAATGAGGGGGAAGGTAATGAAAGGGAAAGAAGGAGGAAAGGGAGGGAGGAAAAGAAGGAAATGAAGAAGGAAGGAGGGTTAGGAAGGAAGGAAAAGGAAGGGAGGGAGGGAAAGAAGGGAAGGAAGGGAAAAAAGGAGGGACAGGAAGGGAGGAAGGAAGGAGAGAGAGAAAGGAGGGGGATGAAGGAAGGAGGGAGGGAAGGAAATGAAGGGGAAGGAAATGAAGAAAGGGAAAGGAGTAAAGAAGGAAAGGAAGAAGGGACAGGAAGGAAGGAAATGGGGAGGGAAGGAGGGAGGGAGGAGAAGGAAGGAAGGGGGAAGGAAGGAGGGAGGGAAGGAAATGAAGGGGAAGGAAATGAAGAAAGGGAAAGGAGGAAAAGGAGGGAGGTAAAGAAGGAAAGGAAGAAGGAAGGAGGAGGAAGGAAGGAAAAGGAAGGGAGGGAGGGAAAGAAGGGAAGGAAGGGAAAAAAAGGAGGGACAGGAAGGGAGGAAGGAAGGAGAGAGAGAAAGGAGGGGGATGAAGGAAGGAGGGAGGGAAGGAAATGAAGGGGAAGGAAATGAAGAAAGGGAAAGGAGGAAAAGGAGGGAGGTAAAGAAGGAAAGGAAGAAGGGACAGGAAGGAAGGAAATGGGGAGGGAGGGAGGGAGGGAGGAGAAGGAAGGAAGGAGGAAGGAAGGAGGGAGGGAAGGAAATGAGGGGGAAGGTAATGAAAGGGAAAGAAGGAGGAAAGGGAGGGAGGAAAAGAAGGAAAGGAAGAAGGGACAGGAAGGAAGGAAATGGGGAGGGAGGGAGGAGAAGGAAGGAAGGAGGAAGGAAGGAGGGGAAGAAAGGAGGGAGGGAAGGAAATGAAGCAAGGGAAAGAAGGAGGAAGGAAAAGAAGGAAAAGGAAGGATGGACAGGAAATAAATAAAAATGCCGTAAATAAATAAGAGTGTCGTAAATAAATAAATATAAATGTAGTATATAAATAAACAAAACTGCCGTAAATAAATAAATATAAATAAATATATATGTAGTAAATAAATAAATATGTGTCGTAAATAAATAAATATGTCGTAAATAAATATAAGTGTCATAAATAAATATAAATGTAAATAAATAAATATGTCGTAAATAAATATAAGCATTGTAAATAAATAAATATAAATGTAAATAAATAAATGTAAATGTAAATAAATATAAGCGTTGTAAATAAATATAAATGCAAATAAATAAATATGTCGTAAATAAATATAAGCGTCGTAAATAAAAAAAATAAAAAATGTAAATAAATAAATATGCCGTAAATAAATATAAGCGTCGTAAATAAATAAATAAAAATGCCGTAAATAAATAAATAAGAGTGTCGTAAATAAATAAATATAAATGTAAATAAATATATATGTCGTAAATAAATAAGTGTCGTAAATAAACAAATATAAGTGTTGTAAATAAATAAATATAAATGCCGTAAATAAATAAATAAATATTCCATAAATACTGTAAATAAAAATGTCGTAAATAAATAAATAAACGTGTCGTAAATAAATATTAATGTTGCCAATAAATAAATAATAAAGAGATCGATAAATAGATAACTACTGACCGTTGAGGATGTTCTCGGACTCCACGTTGACCTGGACCTCCACGGAGTGCTTGGAGGTGTAGCTGATCTCGGCGCTGACGTGGGCCACCTCGCCAATGCACATCGGGGACAGGAAGTCCGTGCGCTCCACCCGGGCCAAGGCCGCCACGCAACGCTCCTGCCGGGGAGGAAAGGGAAGAAGGGTGGGATCAAGGTGCCGCCATCATCCTCATCATCATCCTCATCCACAACAACATCCCTGGGTTGCTGTGGGAGACCACAGCTGCCTGGCCGTGTTCCAGAAGCACTCTCTCCTGACATTTCGCCCACACTTTGACAAAACATCGCCTTCTGGGCTGTTCCAGAAGCACCATCTCCTGACGTTTCGCCCACACTTTGACAAAACATCGCCTTCTGGGCTGTTCCAGAAGCACTCTCTCCTGACGTTTCACCCACACTTTGACAAAACATCGCCTTCTGGGCTGTTCCAGAAGCACTCTCTCCTGATGTTTCGCCCACACTTTGACAAAACATCGCCTTCTGGGCTGTTCCAGAAGCACTCTCTCCTGACGTTTCACCCACACTTTGACAAAACATCGCCTTCTGGGCTGTTCCAGAAGCACTCTCTCCTGATGTTTCGCCCACACTTTGACAAAACATCGCCTTCTGGGCTGTTCCAGAAGCACTCTCTCCTGACATTTCGCCCACACTTTCACAAAACATCGCCTTCTGGGCTGTTCCAGAAGCACTCTCTCCTGATGTTTCACCCACACTTTGACAAAACATCGCCTTCTGGGCTGTTCCAGAAGCACTCTCTCCTGACGTTTCGCCCACACTTTGACAAAACATCGCCTTCTGGGCTGTTCCAGAAGCACTCTCTCCTGACGTTTCGCCCACACTTTGACAAAACATCGCCTTCTGGGCTGTTCCAGAAGCACTCTCTCCTGACGTTTCGCCCACACTTTGACAAAACATCGCCTTCTGGGCTGTTCCAGAAGCACTCTCTCCTGACGTTTCGCCCACACTTTGACAAAACATCGCCTTCTGGGCTGTTCCAGAAGCACTCTCTCCTGACGTTTCACCCACACTTTGACAAAACATCGCCTTCTGGGCTGTTCCAGAAGCACTCTCTCCTGACGTTTCGCCCACACTTTGACAAAACATCGCCTTCTGGGCTGTTCCAGAAGCACTCTCTCCTGATGTTTCGCCCACACTTTGACAAAACATCGCCTTCTGGGCTGTTCCAGAAGCACTCTCTCCTGACGTTTAGCCCACATATCGCCATCCCTGTTTTGAATGACCCAACACCGCCACCTGCTAGCCAACTGGAGATCGTACCCCGGGCCGGGTGTTGCAGTGGCGGGTGCTGATGATGGCTCCAGCCTCCTCGATCATCTTCAGGACGGTCCCGCCGTGGACGTTGCCCGCAATGTTGGCGTCGTCCGGCCCCATGATCCTGCCAACGGAGAAGGAGACGAGATTCCTTGTAGGTTCCAAATGCTTCTAAAGTACCTTACAAAACTCAAGTTCCGGTGGTGAAAATTTCAGCACTCTAACAAAACATTCGAAATTTCATTATAGACGGCAGTTCCTAATGGGTTCTGTCATAAAAAATCACCAAGAATGAAACAATAATGAAATTTTGAAAGTTTTGTTAGAGTTCTGAAATGTTCACCACCAGAACTTTAGCAACACTTTAGAAGCAAAGTGCCAGCGCCCCCTAGTGTTCACTACCAGAACTTTAGTTTTGTAAGTACTCTAGAACTATTTATTTTGGTCTTCTTTCCCTCTTTTTGTTCTTTCTTTTCTTTCTTCCTTTTCTCCCCTCCTCTCCCCTTCCCTTTTTCCCCTCCTTCCTTTCCTTTTCTCCCTCCCTCTTTTCCAACCTTGGTTTCTTCCTTCCTATCTTCTCCCTCATTCTCTTTCTTTCCTTTTTTCCTTCCTTCCTTTCTTTCTCCCTCCTCGTTGCCCTCCCTCCTTTCCTTCCTTCCTTCTCTCCCTCCCTCCTGGCTACCCTACTTCATTCTCTTTTTTTCTTCCTTTCTTCCTCCTTTTCTCCCCTCCTTCCTCCTTCCCTGCTGTCCTCCTTCATTGCGTTCCTTCCTTTTCTCCTTCCTTCCTTTCTCCACTCCTTCAATCCTTTCCTTCCTCTTCCCCTCCCTATCTCTTTCCTTTTTTCTCTCCTTCCCCGCTGTCCTCATTCCCTTCCTTCCTTTTACTCTCGCCTTCCTTCCCTCCTCATTCCCTTCCTTCCTTCCTTTCTCTCTCCTTCCTTCCTTCTCTCCTCCCTCTCTCCTTTCCTTCCTTTTTTCTCTCCCTCCCTGCTGTCCTCATTCCCTTCCTTCCTTCCTTCCCTCTCTCCTTTACTTCCTTTTTTCTCTCCCTTCCTGCTGTCCTCCTCATTCCCTTCCTTACTTTTTCTCTCCTTCCTTCCTTCCTTCCTTCCTCCCTCCCTCCCTGCTGTCCTCCTCATTCCCTTCATTCCTTTTTCTCTCTCCTTCCCTCCTTCCTCCCTCTCTCCTTTACTTCCTTTTTTCGCTCCTTCCCTGCTGTCCTCCTCATTCCCTTTTTCTTTCTTTCTTTCTTTCTTTCTTTCTTTTGCTCTCCTTCCTTCATTCTCTCCTCCATCTCTCCTTTCCTTCCTTTTTTTTCTCTCCCACCCTGCTGTCCTCCTCATTCCCTTTCTTTCTCTCCCTCTCCTTCCTTCCTTCTCTCCTCCATCTCTCCTTTCCTTCCTTTTTTTCTCTCCCACCCTGCTGTCCTCCTCATTCCCTTTCTTTCTCTCTCTCCTTCCTTCCTTCTCTCCCCTCGCTCTCCTTTCCTTCCTTTTTTCTCTCCCACCCTGCTATCCTCCTCATTCCCTTTCTTTCTTTCACTCTCCTTCCTTCTCTCCTCCATTTCTCCTTTCTTTTCTTTTCTCTCTCCAACTCTGTTGTCCTCTTCGTTCCCTTTGTTTGTTTCTTTCTTTCTCCTTCCTTTCTTCCCTCCTCCCTCTCCTTTCCTTCCTTTTTCTCTCCCTTCCTGCTGTCTTCCTCATTTCCTTTCTTTCTTCCTTTTTCTCTCCTTCCTTCCTCCATCCTTTCCTCCCTCCTTCCTGTCTTCCTCCCTGCCTCCCTCCCTCATTCCCTTCCTTTCTTCCATCCTTTCCTCCCTCCTTCCTGTCTCCCTCCCTGCTGTCTTCCTCATTCCCTTTCTTTTTTCTCCTTCTTTCTTTTCTCCCCTACTTCCTTCCTTTTCTACCTCCCTCCCTTCCTTGATTTCTTCCTCCCTGCCTCCCTGCCTCATTCCCTTCCTTTCTTCCATCCTTTCCTCCCTCCTTCCTGTCTCCCTCCCTGCTGTCTTCCTCATTCCCTTTCTTTTTTCTCCTTCTTTCTTTTCTCCCCTACTTCCTTCCTTTTCTACCTCCCTCCCTTCCTTGATTTCTTCCTCCCTGCCTCCCTGCCTCATTCCCTTCCTTTCTTCCATCTTTTCTCCTTTCCTGTCTCCCTCCCTGCTGTCTTCCTCATTCCCTTTCTTTTTTCTCCTTCTTTCTTTTCTCCCCTACTTCCTTCCTTTTCTACCTCCTTCCCTTCCTTGATTTCTTCCTCCCTGCCTCCCTGCCTCATTCCCTTCCTTTCTTCCATCCTTTCCTCCCTCCTTCCTGTCTCCCTCCCTGCTGTCTTCCTCATTCCCTTTCTTTTTTCTCCTTCTTTCTTTTCTCCCCTACTTCCTTCCTTTTCTACCTCCCTCCCTTCCTTGATTTCTTCCTCCCTGCCTCCCTGCCTCATTCCCTTCCTTTCTTCCATCTTTTCTCCTTCCTTCCCTCCTTCCTTCCTTCCTTCCTTCCTTCCTTCCTTCCCTTTTCTCCCTCCTTCCTTTCTCCTTCCTTCTTTTTCTCCTTCCCTCTTTCCCCTACCTATGGTCATGTACAATCACGAGACAAAAGCGGGATATAAATAGATATAAACAAAACCAGTCACGCCTCTTCTTTGCAATAATAATAATAATATTAATTATAATAATAATAACTGTACTGTATTGCATTGTTACTATTATTATTACTACCTTATATTATTATACTGCACTGTTATTGTTATTATTACTATATTATATTATTGCACTCTATTATTGTTGTTATATTATATTATATTATATTATATTATATTATTGTACTCTATTCTTGTTATTATTCATGGGCCCACCTTTGGAAACCAGCTCCAAACCAGATCCAATTCTGGAGACCACTTCCTGTCCAAATCCAATTCCAATCCACTTCTGGAGACCATCTCTGATCCTGATCCAATTCTGGAGACCATTTCCAACTCTGACCCACTTTTGGAGACTATATCCAATCCTGATCCAATTCTGGAGATCATTTCCAACTCTGACCCAATCCCAATCCACTTTTGGAGTCCATCTCCAATCCTGATCCAATTCTGGAGATCATTTCCAACTCTAATCCAATCCCAACCCACTTTTGGAGACAATATCCAATCCTGATCCAATTCTGGAGATCATTTCCAACTCTAATCCAATCCCGACCCACTTTAGAGACCATCTCTAATCCAGATCCAATTCTGGAGATCATTTCCAACTCTAATCCAATCCTGACCCACTTTAGAGACCATCTCTAATCCAGATCCAATCCCAATCCAATTTCCAATCCAGATCCACCACTGATCCATTTGTGGAGACCATTTCCCATCCAGATCCAACCATGATCCACTTTTGGAGACCATCTCCAATGCTGATCCAATTCTAGAGACCATTTCAATCCAGACCCAATTCTGGAGACGATATCCAATCCCAATTCAATCCCAATCTATTTTTGGAGACCATCTCCAATCCTGATCCAATTCTGGAGATCATTTCCAACTCTAATCCAATCCTGACCCACTTTTAGAGATCTTATCTAATCCAGATCCAATCCCAATTCACTTTTGGAGACCATTTCCCATCCACATCCAAACTGGATCCACTTTTGGAGATCATCTCCAATTCTGATCCAATTCTGGAGATCATTCCCAACCCTGATCCACTTTAGGAGACCATTTGCAATCTAGATCCAATCCAGATCCAATTCTGGTGACCATCTTCAACTGTAATCCAATGCTGATCTACTTTTGGAGGTTATTTCCAATCCAGATCCAACTCTGAAGATCATGTTCAACTCTGAGCCACTTCTGGAGAATGGATCAACTTTTGGAGATCATCTCCAATTCAGATCCAATCCTGAAGACCATTTCCAATCCAGATCTAATCCAGATACACTTTTGGAGATCATTTCCAATCCAGATCCAATTCTGAAGACCATTTCCAATCCAGATCCAATCCAGATATACTTTTGGAGATCATTTATTATTTATTTATTATTATTTATTATTTGCACTTGTTAACCGCCACTCTCAGCCCAGGGGCGACTCGTGGCGGTGTACAGAACA